CAGGAATCTCAGCAAGGCATACATTCCAGCGACAAAACCCAGAAATCAGCAGTGTTCTCAGTCTGTGTTTTGGCGAGAGAAGGTTAAAAATAGTCATATTTTTCATCACCACTTCAAGACACCCTTCACCACTTCAAGATGCAGCCTACCTAAACAGGTGGTTTTCAGGGTCTTCGGACCTTTCACGGTTTCACCACTTCAGGACACCCTTCACCACTTCAGGATGCAGCCTGCCTAAACAGGTGGTTTTCAGGGTCTTCGGACCTTTCACCACTTCAGGACCATTTAGGATTTTCAGACTGCCCAAAACTCTCACTTCACCACTTCAGGATGCAGCCTGCCTAAACAAGTGGTTTTTAGGGTCTTCGGACCTTTCACCACTTCAGGAGCATTCGGGATTTTCAGACTGCCCAAAACTGTCACTTCTGAATTTTCATTCCTGAATTTTCAGCTACCCGTTAACCGCTTGTGGGCCTTGGGGACCAAAGGTGAGGTCTTGTACAAAATGTTTCCATAGAAGAGTTCTGAAATACAACTCGAGTTTCTTGAGTGCTACCTTAGCCCATTGGTCATATGTCATACAAGTGTTGTTTTGGGGAGGAGGAGTAGGCAGGGGTGCACGAGAAGGGCCTCGCAGATGGGTCATGAAACGCGATTAAGATTGGACTTCAACCATTAGAATAGCCGAAGAAGGATTCCATGCGAAACGATTCAAAATTGTAGCTTTACATAAAATTTAGATATCAACCGTATCTGCAAGGAACATGAATGTGGACGAAGCACAGAAATCCAGATTGCAAAATCACACACCAATGCCGACCTCCTCTCCACCAGGTACGTCTCTCTCCTCTCCCTCACTCTCCCTTGTTATCCCACACAACGCCCTTCACCTCCGAAGAACCACCTTCACCCTTCACCTTCTCTGCGCCCATAGGCAGCCCGGCTATGGCCGCCAGCCTGCCTTCCCTCAGCCTAGCGCAGCGCAGGCACACTCGCAATGCAGCAGCGTGCCGGCCTTGCTCGCAACGGCCAAGATCCCTGCCCACTCGCCCTCCCTGCCTATATGCCAGTGTTGCGTGTGGGCGGCCTCCCTTGAGCCTGCGCCTGGGCCCCAGTACCTGTACCCAGGCCCAATGCGGTTGGGGCCCAGGAGATGCAGTTGCGCCTCCTTCATCAAGGCCTGCGACCAAATTCAAATAGTGGACCGGTTTCCCATTGGCATTTTCGGCCTCTATATCCAGCATGCATTGTCGGCCTCACGTTTATGTGCCCAGGGCCTAACCAATTCTGGGGCCCTGGGATTTCTGCATTTGCAGAGCTCCGATACTCGGTGCACTCCAACCAACTGGCGTGCGGCAACTGTATGGACCCCACTTTGTGAAATGTTTGAACAGAGGGGCTCTTGTTGATTTGCAGACATGCCTTCACTTAGGGCGGGCACGAGGCTTTGCTGGGGCCTGAGCCCAGAACATGTACATCATGGCAAGGCCCCTTTTTGAGGGCTCAATCCTCACATATCATAGTTCTAAAAGAAAAGAGCAACATGTAACATGCTTTACGTTCTTGTTACTTGCAAAAGGATTTCACTCTTTGTCCATGTCCTATGTCCTGATCCCAGAGTCCTGAGTCGCGGTCCAGGAGTCCCACCTCAGCCCAGTCCCAGTTGGTCCCAGTTAGACGGTCCTAGGAGTCTGGTAGGGCTAGAGGCTGAAGCGACGTTGGTCCATAGGGTTTGTTAGTAGGTCATTAGAAGTCGTAGGCCCACTACCCGACAAGAAAAATCTGCAGTCCACAAAGTCCAATTTTGCAGTAGCATCCTGGGAAAGTCCGGTAAGTTGCGGAACTGGCAAACTGCATTCGACAGGCTACATTGACCGGTGCCGGTCCTAAGCCGACAACGATTGACTTGTTGTGGAAGCTCTGTTGTGGCGCTTGTGCGACCAACGGGTTGGACAGTGGGATTGACGGAGGAGATGAAGGGTGATCCGAGCCATAGCTAGGGTTGAGCGGGAAGGAGAAGTCCGCCATAGCTGATCGAGTAGGGTAGAAGAGGGAGTGAGGCGAGTGTATTCAGGGAGCGAGAGTGAGCGATCCAAGGTGGGAGGGAGAGAGAGAGAGAGAGAGAGAGAGAGAGAGAGGGAGAGAGAGAGAGATTGTATTGTATTGTATTGTAAATAATAAAAATAATAGATGAATGTATCATACTTCTACGTGAATCTATTATTTAATCATTGTAATAAATGTACATTTATTTGTATATGGATAGAAATAAATGAAAGTCAGATTATCCCATTAAGTCAGACACTGCAGACAGTGAGCAAGTTTACCTGGTGAGTCGCGATGTTCGAGTCTGCTCGCGATATCGGCCATGAACAGCTTGTAATTGAACTCGATTCTTGTATAATATTGAAGTGTTTGGAGGCGATTTCATCTTCATGGTGTCGACTTGTCATTGCAAAGTTGGTGTGAACCTTATGTGAGATTTCCATGCGCTGCAAGTGTGTTCTGTGGTTGATTCCACTTGGGTTCCTTGCACTTGCCAACGCTGTAGCCGATATCATGATATTTTTATTTCTTTCATTGCCTCCTGCTTTGGGTTGGGTTTTAGATTTTGTGTGTTTCGAAACTGCATTAGAGAAAAAAGCAAGAGTCTGCACTCACGTGAAATTGTATTTTCTGGAGATGGCAGCGTCCGTGATGCAGGCAATGGTGATGATCATGGAGGCGATGATGACGTGCTCCCTTACACTGCGAATGAAGCGATCCAGCTGAAACAGGATCCATCTGGGTAGGCTGATGAATCTTTCTTGTTTTCCTTCTTTGTCGTTCGTTTCCCCCAAATTTGGATCATTTTTCAATTCATGCTTGTTATGCTGCTTGTGCAGGGCCTATGCTAATGTTTTCTGTATCGTATGGATTTTGTCAGATGACGTGTGCAATCAGGCTGGTTATATTTTATTTCAATCTCACCTCTCTTCTCTTCTTCTTTTCACCCCTCTTCCCAAACAGGGCCTTACGATCCTGGCTCATTTCCATCCTCGGGAACATCAGTCCACCGGCAAGTCATCGAAATAGGCCAGAGCTCACCTTTGGTCATTCGGATGGGTCCCTATGCAGCAAGCTTCTGTTCCATAAATTTCCTTGGCTGTCTTATAGGCTACCTCTTTGTCAATATCCACGTTGTCGATCATTTTTCAAGAATTATTTTGCCCATAAAGTCTCGAGTACCTTTCCTTTGGTCTCCAGATACGCTTCAAGCTTGGCTACTGCTGGGCCTGGATGTACTCCGGCCCCCACTCTCCCCTTGAAAGATGATGCGTGTTGCATCGAGTGGAAAACATCAGCTGGCGTGCGCAGAGTATTTGTGGCACTTGTGTAATGGGGCTTGGCCAGTCGTGCGGTGGTTACAATGTTGCATAGCAGTGCTGCACTCACCGTTTGGTGCTTGCGTTCAATACTCCCCCGTGGAAGATCCATCTACTTCTAGCTTTTGTGTGCTTCTTTATTTCCTTTGTCTGCTGGTCTTTTGTGCAGAAGCAGTACTGTTCCTGCTGAACCAGTAGGACTGGTCGTCTTATGGTCGATAGCTCACGAATTCTGCATTACAAATTGGTATTTTCTCTCTTTGCCTGTGTTTCTTCTGGTGGATCAGCCTGGTCGGTGAACAGTTTACAGGCAAACTACAAGATATTGAAGACGTGGCAGAATTCTGTGAATCAGCAAGACACTTATCACCTTGCTATGAACCACCATGTGCACCATCCACAACGGAAAGGAAATGCTGTAGCAGGACTTTTGTTGAAGGGGACGGAGCCTTGCCAGATGGTGTGGTAGATCGCTCGCTCTTGCAGCACTCGTCGAAGAGGCAAGAAGGCAGCTTTTTCTCTCGGGGGTATGCTCCAAAAGGCTCGACCAGAAGACAGACCATGGATGCATGGGGCCTTTCAAGTGGATGTGGACGTGGTGGTAGTGCTGCAGGAGGAACGAATATCTGTGAGGGCACCGGTGAAAACGCTTTTGGAGGGAGGTGGGATGATAGTGGGCGAGGGGATGTGGCACTATCTACCTTCGCGGGACAGACTTGGCGATCGCGAGTGAGGCAACCTCGGGGGAACACTCGGCCCGAATTGCATTGTTATGGATCAGCAGGGCAGTCAATCACAGGTATCGTCGAAACAAACAAGGGGAACATGCAGCGAGAACAGTCAGGATCAGAAGTAGGGAAGAGGGAGAATTATATGGACGATGATAGGCAGGTGTTGAGAGATATAGCAATGGAATTGGCAAATGATGTCTATGCTATAGGCTGTATTGCAGCTGAGCTCTATCTTGGCCACGGCCTGATGAACAAGGAGTCCACTGCGGCGTACTTCACCTGTGGGATCTTGCCAGAGGCTGCTAGCAAACTCCCACCACACGTTCTACCATTAGTTGAAGCAGCTCTTCACCCTGACCCTATTAAGTAAGTCTGTCTACCTCTCCCTCTCACCCTCCCCCCCCCCCCCCCCCCCCCCCCCCCCCCCCCCCCACCTTCCTCCTCCTCCCTTTTTTCCCAAAGGACGACTTCACTGAGATATCATCATTGAACTGACCGGCCCCAGGTAATTCGGAGTGATTTTTCCCATCTGAGTCCATCAGGAATTCAACTTCGGTCTGTTTATCAACAGTTGATTGTTGTACCATTCAGCCACATGGGCCGGTGGTCCATCCAGCTTTTCTTTTTCTCTCAATTCATGCTCTTTTTTTTCCTTTCTTTTTTCATAAAGAACAAGCCCCTTCTATTCTGGGGGGTTCAGTCCGGTTGCTTATAACCGGCAAGCATGTTTTGTACAGAGGCAGTGGGGAGAAAAGATAATAATAGAGGGTCAACCTAGCCCTTCCGGCACTAGACGCCTGAACAAGGGAGGGCTGCTACGGAGTGCCCCACCGCCAATGATACATGCCCAGTTGGGCAATGTAGGTAGAGCCAAGGATCCGCAATGTGATGAAAAGGACTGAATGGACAACGGCAATGTTACATGCTGCGCCTGCAACAGGCTGCACAGGCCACTTTCAGGCCTGTAACGTTTTCAGGCCGAAAGCCTGAAAACAAGGGCCTACAGGCCCCATGTCGTTTCAGCCTGAAAGCCTGAAAACAAGGGCCTACAGGCCCTGTGTCGTTTCAGCCTAAATCAGGGCCTTTCCGGCCCTGAGTCTTTTTTCAGCCTGAAACTCAGGGCCATTTTCAGGCCCTCATGAGTTCGATCTGCCCTGAAACTCAGGCACCAAACCAGGGTTTTAGCACAGGCCATTTGGGCCTATTTTCAAGACAACGTTTCGGCATTGGCAAGAGCAGCCTCCTGGGCGGGCCAGCACTATATAGGACTGGCCCGCCCTGCAGGCTGCAGGTAGTTGCTAGGTAGTTCCTAGGTACTTCCCAGGCACTTCACGCGTAGTTCAGGAGGCAGGAGGTAGTCTTCAGGATTCGGCAGCAGCGCTCTGGAGGAGCGCTGCAGTAGTAGTAGTAGCGCTAGCAGTAGTCTTCAGCGCTGGGCGCTAGTAGCTTTAGCAGTAGTCTTCAGCACTGGGCGCTATTAGGAGCTAGAGTAGTACTAGAGAGAGAGAGATTGGGCGGAGGCCAGGGATACTTACGTGCAGCGCCATAGCTCCAGCTTCGCCTTCGAGGTACCTGCAGCACGGCGCCATCTTCACAGGTTAGTACCTGGCACATGAGAGAGGGAGAGTTCTTCTTCTTCCTCTTCTCAGTCCACCATCTCCCTCTTACCCTCTCGCTACCTGACTTCACTGCATCAGCAGACTATGAGAGAGCGGGCTTGGTGACATTTGGATCCAGACTCGACATTAGGCTTCAGACATTTGACGAGGGATTATTTGGGACTTGTAACGAAGACTTGGTGTTGACGACATTCCCATCTCTCCCCCTCTTCTTTGTCTGTTCCCCTCCTCTTCGTCTGTGCATGATCTGGACCTGGCGCATTCTTCCTGTGTGTAGCGCCAGGCCCCTTCACACCTTGTGATGAGGATGATGTATGTTTGGTCTGCGTTGTGACATTGATTGGGCTAGTCATTGATATTCTAACATTCTGCTGCGCTGTCTTGCACTACATCATAGAGATCAGTCCCAGTCAGGTCAGGACTTGTATCTAAGTCTTCCCCTGTGCTATAAAGCACCATTTTTGTATGTATCAGAATGTACACTGCTTGTTGAGATTCTACTTGCATTGTCCATTCAGTCCTTTTCATCACATTGCGGATCCTTGGTTATATATGTACATCGCCCAACTGGACATGTAACAGTTGGTATCGGAGCACCGCACGTGAATCAGGACAACCTGATCTGACACGTGTGCGGGGACTAGGTAGCTGATTAGTCTTGATTGATTGATTATGCAATCAGACTCGCTTTCTTTTTCACTCCGCACTCATGCAAACAGATGGTGAGTCACACTGGCGCAGAGCGTCCACTCAAAGCTCAGAGATATGGAAGTCGAAACACAGTTCAGATACAAGCTTTGCTTCAACAGGCTATGGCGCATCAGCGCCTGTACACCTCAACTCTCGTCTCTCTGTTCAACACCACTGTTCGCACTCACTCCACTCCGGATCACCCTGGATATCCCACACGCGCATACACACACTACTACTAACACACTCGTCTATCAACTATGGCGGCTATCTGCTGTCCCTCTATGGCTATGTCTAACTATCTCCTTCAGCCCACTTCTTCTCCGGGCACTCTGCAGACCACCTCGCACAAGTCGCTCAAGCAGCGCTTCCGCATGGCTTAAGCAGGAATGAAAGAATGGCTGGACGCTGCCCTTTGATTTATACTTCTGGGAGTCACTGGTCTGCCTCTGTCCACCGGGCCCATAGTGCACACAGTCCCTTATGGTACTTGCTGACTGGACTCAGTGAGACTGGGACTGGGTACTGCTGACTCAGCAAGTGTGGACTCCACCACTTGCTCACTTGCCTCTAAACTACTGTGAGCAACGTTGGAAGGGCCACTTCCAGACCTTCCGGAAGTCTGTGGACTCTGCCCTTCGACATTGTAGCAGCTACGACCTTGACCTTTCAGGACTGTAGCAGCTACAAACTTGACCTTTCAGAAGGGCTACAGCTACGACTTCTAGAACTTGCTAAAACCTCTACCCGACAGGTCTACAGATCGAACCCCTACCACGTACGGACCTACGACAGCCTACCAACTGTTGCGAATACACAGGTCACGGGTTCAACTCTCGGGGCCGACACAGGTACTGTACACAGGTAAGGTAAGAACTAGGGATCGAGCCCTGGGATCTGCACTCGCTACTGCTAACAGGTGAATACCGTTTAGAGCACACCAGTTAGCCCCCAAAATCACGATTTTGACCTCACTGCCGAAAATTGAATTTTTTCTTTTCTTTTCTTGGATTTTGTTTTCCCGCTACTTCCGTTGTGGAAAATCGCAATAGCGCAACACCTGAAATTTCAGTTTTCGTTTCTTTTCTTCTGAAAATTCAAAATTTCGTTGTTGGAAATCCAGATTATTTTTTTTCCCCCGAAAATTTCGTTTTCCTTTTGCAATTTCCCGTTATTTGAAATCCGGAATATCTTTTTCCGAAATTCGTTTTTTTCGAAACGGCACGGGAAATCCCTCTTCAGTCATCATTTTTCAAACTGCGCGTACTCTCATCTGAGTAATTCCGAATATTTGTATTTTGTTCATTTTCGGAATTCTCACCAGATAATCATTTGCAGTCTGTTCTGATTAGTAATTTCACACTTCAAGGGGAATTGGGAGGCCTACTGAACTTGCAAAAGAGTATTTTTTTTGTTTCTCGATTTTTTTTTGCAAAGTTCAAACTTTTCTTTTTTGATTAGTGGCTCCTTATCTGGGCGATTTATCCCACCCACCACTCCCCACCTACGTTGTTGCCCCCTCTGGTCTTATCTTCTCTATCTGTCTCCGGGTACCCCCTGCGGCGGCATTGGTGAGTTGCCACGTTAGCAGACCACGTCAGCAGGCCACGTCAGCAGACCACATCAGCAGACTACGTCAGCAGGCCATGTCAGCCGACTACGTCAGCAGACCACGTCAGCAGGACACATCAGCCGACAGCAGTGCCACGTCAGCAACAGGGAGTGCCACGTCAGCAGTCCTCCGGCCTGCTCAATGCTCACGTGCTTACAAACAGCCGACATGGATCAGAAGTCCGGGGAAACGGACGAGGCCTATCAGGCCCGGATGCTGCTTCTCATTACCGAAGCGAAGCAACGGTCGGATGCAGTAGCAGCCGCAGCAAAGAAGAAGGCAGAGGACGCCGAGAAGGCACGTTTTCGACCGGTAGTAATGGCCTGCCGGCCTGCGGATCTAGCCCTATGTCCGCCCGCGTCTGTCACCCGCGGGAGGGCTAGGTCCGGGCTCCTGTAACCTGCGAAATCCGCCACTGAGTCAGAAATAAACACAAGGCCCGAACTGGACGACGACTCGGAATGCAAAAAGAAATGTGAAATCCGTTTTTATTCAATAAATAATGGTAGCCCCAAATGCCCTACACCCCATCCCAGGACTCCCCCCCGCACGCTAGTCCAGTGGTTCAGTTCGCGTCGGGTCCGAACATGTCGTATTCTTCGCTGGGCCCTGCGATCAATGGATAGCCATCTGTACCGCTCCCACTGGCAAAATAGAGTAGCATCGCGGTCCCGTTGAAGCTTGATCCTTGATCTGGGTCCGGACTCCGTAATGATCTGATCTGGTCCGATCTAGTCTGATCTGGTCAGATTTGAGTCCAAACTCCGGTCCGGTCTGGTCTCATCAGGTCCAGTATGAGTCTGATCTCAGCCTGACCTGGTCTGGTCTGAGCCTGGTCTCATCTGGTCTGGACTGAGTCTGGTCTCGTCTTGCTTGGTCTGAGTCTGGCTTGATCTGTTTGGTCTGAGCCTGGTCTGATCTGACCTAGCCTGAGTCTGGCCTGATCTGTTTGGTCTGAGTCTGGTCTGATCTGGCTTGGTCTGAGTCTGGACTCATCTTGCTTGATCTGAATCTGGCCTGATCTGTTTGGTCTGAGTCTGGTCCGATCTGAC